TGCACTTAAATACTTTTATTTTTGTTGTGGATTACTCTGACCATGATAGGCCCCTAAATTTTTCCTCTTTATATGATTTTTGTGTCCTATACTTTTATTTATTTAGGTGCTAGAAAATTATACTAAGCCAAGGCATGAAATTTCTCTTTTATTAAGAATTTTATAGTACACAATAATATTCCGTCAAGATATATCATAAAAAATATCCCAAGAAGAGGGCCTACAACATCACAATTCAAGACATTAGTCCGCAAACTAAATAGAAAGTAGAGATTATCATTCAAATAAAACCTCGAACCTAAATCTAAGAAAATGAATAATTTCATAGGAATTAACTACTTAAGAACTCACAAAAGGATGCGAAATCAAAGCCATTACTCTTGCAACCTTGCTTGAAAGAGAACAAATTGAATCCAACTAAACATTTTGAAATTAAAATAGTGTTGATCCCACCATTTTAAATGTATAAACTATATAGTGTAACATAACCAATCAAGTTAATCATCCTTAACATGTGAATATTATTGTTCACTCATAATGCAAACTTTATTTGAGTTAGTTATCCAATTATGAAGATAAGAAATTCAAGTATTAACCATGATTTTCTAATCTTGTAGATGTATTTATAGGGCAGGTTTGGTTTGGTAATCGCAAATCAATAGTTAGAAAAAGTTAATTAAATACAAATTTTACAACAATGCCCCATAAGTAAGATATGGTTTGCTAATTTGAAATCTTTATTTAAAGAGAAACAATGAAGTTTTTAATTGAAATAAATTATCATAAAATTAATTTTGAAGTTATTTATATTTTAAGGGTAAGAAAATCAAATCCTTGAGTGGAAAAAGCATAATATAAATGAATAAAACTAGAAAATAAAAATCTAATTTAAGGTAGGCATACAATTAGAAATAAACAAAATGCTTTTCAAATATGATATAAATAAGGTTAAGCGATACACCCTGCAAATAAAAATTATAATAAAATAACCATGATCTATCATACTACTTCCTAAACTCATTCTATAGATCAATAAGAAAATGAAGCCATGGCCTCCAAGCTATTCAAGTGGATAGAGCGTTGATATGCCATCTAGTACGCCTATTTGAAACTCGTGTTGCATGTAAGGCATGTATAAGCTAAAGTAACACACACACACACACACACACACAAACAACACAATACACGCACTATATTGTGAACAATTTCTATCAAATTGCATGACATCTCATCATCACATTGAATTCTAATTACTCTAATCTTGGAAAAATGTGTGTTTATTAATGCATGAAGCATACAAAAATACATAATTATGATAATTATAACAATTTTAAATACATCAAAATAATATGTTAATAATAAAATACACTTATAATGTAGAAAATAATCTCATAACAAAATAGTATTTAATAGTAATTGACATTAAATCAATATTTTTCAATAGTAAGAAAATTAACTAATGTTAACATATGTCAACTAATCCATTATTAGCTAAATAATAGCATATTAATGAAAAATAATATATTTTTTTAAATAATTTAATCATAACTCAAAAAGAAAA